CAAAAACACATATCCTTTCATTCATCGTGGCTACGCAAGTGGAAAATATACGCAAGAAGCGAAGGAGGATTCAGGCAGTATGAATAACAAAGGGTCCACAGCAACCACGTTGGCAAACGCGTTCGGAAGGTGTCCTAAGTAAGTTTCACATCATAATCCGTCGCGGATCATACCGCGCTCTCTACGAAGAGGGCGCAGCGCACTATAAACTACTCGATATCAAGGGTCGATCAAACCATCACTGTGCAAGCAGAGTCTTTCGATCTAGTCAGCTTCGATCTTATGGGGAAAGAAGGTACATCTTTTCATTTCGACCGTGCAGACTATTGGTGCTACTTCGACGAGGCAAATGCAAGAATGACAACCGGCAAAGGTAGCGCTAGCGTTCCCGTCCGGATAAGGTCGCCACATGAGTGGTTCCCGAGCGCAGCCACAAAGTAGATGAGCATGGCAAGAGCGCGTTGCAGAGCACGACGTAGCGCAGGTCGCTCGAGCCATAGGTCGCCGCGTCTCGGTGTCGACGGGCGAGTGGCCATCGGTACGACGTCGGCGAGGATGTGGTGTGGCGACGCTTCAGGCGCTGGGCTCCAAACGTCCACTTCAACTCGAGATGACTCATCTTGCCAAAAGGTGCCGTACGGATACAATTATCCGGCTGAGGGAGTCGTTGGCGGAGAAAAAGTTGATCCCGGGTCAACTTTTGTTGCTTCGAGGCGAGTGCTGGTTTTTATCGCACAAAGGCGCGTCAAACACCACGACTACTGCAAGGCGCCTGTGCAGCGCAAGGTGACCAAGAAGACTGCCTCCACGCCGCTGCCGCCCACGCCACCTCCAGCGGGGGGCATTGGAAAATGCTTGCACGACGTAGATGCACCACGACTTGGACACACCGAGAGCGCCTCCTGTCTCGCGGATCCCGCCCTCGCTGGCGAGAAAGTACAGCAGTATGGTGACCTTCTTGGCGAACGAATGCGTGGACTTGCGGAACTTGTAGTCGCTCATGTAGACGCGGAGGGTGGACACAAGAGCGCGAAACGTAGCTTGAGAGCAGCGGAGGTTGTTGATGAACCACTGGTTGTAGCGACGATCGGGAATCATGGCATCGAACTCGACCTCCATTATGGTTAGAATGTTGAACTTGTCCTCGCCCACGACGCCATGAGCCACAGCAAGCGCAGCTCCAGCACAGGCCACGTCTACCACCACCGCCGACGCAAAACGACGTGTGCAGTCCATTTACAGTCCACGAGTGAGTTGACTCTCAAATGTGCGTTCGGAGACCACAGAGGCCACCGGATACATTTATCCGTACGGGTCGGCAACTGCATTGAATTTAACGGACAGGCCTCCGTCCCTTGGCATCTGATTGGCCAAAAATCCACCATGACGTGGCAGCGTGCTTGTGCAGTATATATACAAGTAATAAAACGTTGTCTTCGTTCTTACAAAGAGTTCGCATCGGTTGAGACTAGCAATCTCCTTCTTCTTCACTCGCTCGCCGGGCCGTGGCTGCGCAGGCGGCGGCGCGGGGGTGCATCTTGTTCTTCTGTAGTCGCGCGGGGACGCTTGTGGCCGCGGGTGAGGCGCATGATGACAAGCTCCGTAGATTCCTTCCAGGCTTTGTCGTCGGCGGCAAAGCTACGCAGTGTGTTGGGGTCCTCGAGAGACGCCAGCGACGGAGGCGGCGACAACGACTGGAGGTCGCGGTGCAGGACGATCGGCAACGTGATCTTGGTGCGGCCTAGAAAACGGGGCGCCTCGGGAGCGGCAAAGAAGCGGATGGCGGCAATGTTGGCAGGGACGTCTTCCTTCAGGCGCAGCACATGACCCAGCAGGCGCCAGTAAACTTGAAAGTGTTAATCACCGCTATCCCAATGATTTTTGCCTGCCATGGATTGCGGACAAAGGAGGTTGGTTGTAAATGCTGGAACCTTCAGCTGCGATGTGCGACGTGTGCGATTCTTCTCCGATTGGGCACTGATACGATCGAGGGCGCCTTTAACTTATTCAAACGCCGCATCCGCGCCGTCACTCGAGGCAATCTTCGGCAAACCGTGGTCTCGTAGTACTTGACCAACTTGTTCATGACGCACTTCCACTCTGAGAGCCGCTTGCGCTTCGTTGTGCATTCGATTTGTGCAGGCGCAACGCATCGGTACGGAGGTTGATTCTGTGTGGCATTGCCGCACCACCAAAGTCGCCATGCCGCCGCGACGTCAACCTTGGGAGGTCAAAATCGGTTGGAAGCTCAACGTAGCGTCGTTGACCTTCTTGAGGTTGCGGTAGATCTCGACGTATGGCAGCACACCCGTCACAAGCATCGTCGCGTCGTTGCGCGGGGTCAATAGCGGTGCGAGCGACGCGCGGATCGTGGGGGCCCTGAATAGAATCGACGAGAGAAGCGCGTGCGTTGGAGGCAAGGTCGAGACGAGGAAATCGTTGTGCAATATATGTATTTTGAACTTTGTCGACGATGCCCACCAAGCTCGACACTCGCCCATGCAGAGTCGGTTGGACGCTCGTCAAGATAATTGACAGGTAGCATGGACGCTGGCAATCGGTTCGTAGTCGACATAGTATTGCCACCGACTGCGTATTTAGGCGCGGAGGAGCGGCCGCGTTTCGTCGTCCGAAGCGTCCTTGAGCGGTGCGTATGCGCGGAGGTGCTCGTACGTGTACGCGACGAGGAGAACCATGCACGAGGTGCCAATGATGGGCGAGATGTACACCATGAGGTCGAGCGAGCAGTGGAAGATCAAGTAGACGCGCAGCGAGTCTTCCGCAAAGATGACGAGTCCCCAGAGCGCCGAGAGCGCTCGGAACCGCCGGCGCACGGGGCGCAGCGACCAGAGGTCGTCGAGATACTGGGCGTCCGCTGGCGACGTCTCGTTCAAGAGGCGGTACTTGATCCAGAGCAAGTTGAATTGGTCGTGCACGAGCGGGATCGCAAACGCGACTGCAAAACACATGAAGGTGAGCGGGTCCTTGAGCAGCGCGACGCGTGGGTCGTCGAGCAGCGTCATGAGGACGAGGCACGCGACGATCGCCGACACTTGGACGAGCGAGATCGCGTCGGCCTTGCGCTGCACGAGCATCTGATACACGATGCGACCCAGCGGCGGCAGCGACTGCAGCGCCATCGCGATCAGCTGCGACGTGTACTTTGACGCCACAAAGTAGATGAGCATGGGCAAGAGCGCGTTGCAGAGCACGACGTAGCGCAGGTCGCTCGAGCCATAGGTCGTCGCGTCGCCGCGTCTCGGCGTCGACGGGCGAGTGGCCATCGGTACGACGTCGGCGAGGATGTGGTGGTGGCGACGCTTCAGCAGGCGATGAGGATTACGCAAGCACGTGCCATACAAAGCAAGTGCAAGGTGGGTGACCAACATTCTCGTAGAAGGCACATCACTCTTCTTTGCCCCACCAGATGCACCACGGGACATTGGGACAAACACCCACGCAGCCGGTTGTTCCCAAAATGTAGTCGCCGGCTTGGTCGTCAGCGGCCCGTTTACATGCCCGTCCACTGTAGCCCACAGTGGACGGCAGCGCCCTGCAGTGCCAAGGTACCACGTCATGCATCTAATACCGGGTAGCTACAGGATGGGCTTGGACGCGGTCCTTTGCTGCGGTGGCATTGCTGCCCAGACGATGTCCACCTCGAGGATGCCACTCTGCTGTGCACGACCGCTCCCTTTCCATGCAACTGCGTTTGTACCGCAAGCACGGACATCCCAAGCTCCGCGCTGCGTTCGAAGAACGACAAGTAGGATCGGTAGCTACATGTACTAGGATCGGGTGGGTGTTCAGAGGAGCGAACACGCCGAGGTGCACACTCTTCACCTCTGCCACCTCGGCGAGGTAGCATCTCGGCTGGCTCTAGCGACGCTGTCAAGCTCGTTTTCGCCCAGTGGCTTCTGAAGAATCCCTGCACGTGCTCGAAAGCTTGAAGTGCAACACGTGATGGCCGTCGCGCATCAAGGATGCAAGCGGATGGTGAGGGACTTCCGAACTCGGTGTTTAACCCAGACATAACATTGGGTTAAACGGGGCAAACCCAGCTTGCACCCACGCGTACCCATGGCGACGATGCCTATCAAAGCCCACTTCCGATTTTCTGCCGTCGACCAGCCATGACGGCCGAGACGCTCATCGCCGACAGTGACGTCAAGCCGAACGAGACCTACGGTCGCCGGGACATGCGGTTCGTGTTTCTCTTGAACGGGTTGTTGCCGCTTCTTATCTACTCGGTCGCGGTCAAGTACACGTCGGAAGTGAACGCGATGGTGCTGCACTCGATCCCACCGATCCTCAAGGGCCTCTACGAGATCTCGTCACAAGGCCAAGCAGATTTCATCTCGTCGCTTCAAGTCATCTCGACGATCGTGTGCATCGTGCTCATGGAGATCTTCGAGGACCCGAAAGTGATTTTACTCAAGGACTCGATCCTGCTGCTCTGCATTGCGTTCGGGTACTTTGTGGCGTTCTATAACGACGAGTGGAACCTCCTCTGGCGCATCTACCGCCTCCTCGCCGAGACGTCCGTCGACGAAAAGCACGCGCTCGACCTCAAGTGGAGTCGGCCGCATATTCGCCGCCGCTTCCAACGTCTCGCGGGGCTCTGGGGCACGATCCTCGTGCTGGAAAACAGCGCCAAGGTCGCGCTCATTCTCGTGTACCCCGTCGGCACCATGATCTTTGTGTTGCCGCTGATGGGCATGGCGTTTGGCGGGTCGCTCACCTTGGGCACGTACTGCTACCTCAAGATGAAGGACCGCGAAGACAGCTTGCGCGCCGAGACGATGCCACTCGTCTGAGACCAAGTCTAAACCCCGTGGCTGTGTCTGTGTACTAATACTAATCAATAATGATGTTGACGACAACGATTCACTGGGAGAAGATCGCAGTGACGACGTGTCCTGGCCAAGTGAATCTACCCGAATCTAGTACCAGTGCAAGCGGCGTCCAAGGTGCTGTAGTGATGATATCCATGTATTTATCGCTCTTGGATATATCCAGGATAGTTTGAATACAGAGAGCGGCATTTCAACCATGCGTACTACGGTAGTGTACCGGTATGGCTGTTCCCTTTTTTTCGGCCCCAAATGACAAAAGAAGAGATTGTACCATGGCCACCGTCGGCGGGCGTGCCAACCTCCGCGCCGTCTTTGCGTGCAACGTCGCCTTGCCGCTCCTCATCTATGCGATTGCGGCCAAGCACACGTCCGACGTGAACGCGATCGCCTTGTCCGCGCTGCCGCCGCTGCTCAAGGGCCTCTACGGCGTGCTCTGGCACCGCGAGACGGACAGCCTCTCGCTGCTCCAGGTGCTCTCGACAGCGACGTGCATTGGGCTCACCGAGGCGCTGCACAACCCACGCATCTTGCTATTCAAAGACTCGTTCTTTTCGCTCGCGTTTGCTGCCTCGTTGCTTCTAGGGCCATGCCTCCAGGACGATTGGAACGTGCTCTGGCGCATCTACTGCGCGACGGCGGTAGACACGCGCCGCCTCGAGGCCTCGTGGTGCGATCCGGTCGTACGCCGACGCTTTCGCCGCCTCTCGTGGCTCTGGGGCACCATCTTCTTGGTCGAAAACATGCTCAAGATCTGGCTCATCCTGACGTACCCCGTCAGCACGGTCGTGTACGTCCTTCCGGTCCTTGGCATCGCCTTGGTGACGCTCGTCGTGTCGCTTACCTTTGCGTACCTCCAGCGCATGCAGCGGCTCGACGCGACCCGTCCCGATCGCGTCGGTCTACTCTAGTTCCTCCAGTATCATCAAAGGCAGAATGGTGTGCGTTGTCTTGATGCCGCCTCGCCGACGCGTAGCCCGCAGGCGACTGCACTCTCGTCGTGCAGACACCAAAGACGACCACCGTCATGGGATGCAGTGGTCCTGACGAGATATGTGCGAGTATGTAGAAGGGTTGATCCAGATGTGGACGCTCTATCGGTGTTGAGTGCTTACTCGAACCAGGTAGCATCGAGGCCCTAGACTTAACGAAGGACACTCTGGATGACACCGCGCTGGCCGTTGATGCGCCAGAGCGGGTCGTCGGCCTCCAAGGTCGTCTCTTGCGCGGGCAGAATGCCCACAATCGGGTCCGACTTCATCGTGCGGAGCGCGACAAACGGCGCTGGAAAGTACGGGACCGCCTCTGCAATGGGCGTCGTCGCGGGCCAGAGACGATCGCCAAGGAGACGGCGGTAGTTGGCGTCGCCCTTGAGAACGACAAGACCTGCGCTGCCAAGCGAATGCGTCACATGTGCTGGCAGCTCGAAATAAAACCGGTACTGGTTCCAGAAGAGATCGCCAATCGGCTTCAAGACGCCCTCTACGACAGCATAGCACATCAATCCCACGACGAGATAGAAGTAGAGAGTCGAACGTACGATCTAGGAAGGCCTGGAGGCGCGAAGCAAGCGCCCGGACCGACGGCGTCCGCGACGCATCGCCCATCAAACGGACCGTCTCGACGATGTCGTTGGCGGTCGCGTCCGAGACGTACGTCGGCGCACCCTTGACGTGCAGCACGATGGATGTGCACCATTTCTACAGCCACCGCATGTTCGTCAATGTCATCCTCTACGTACGATCCCAAAGCACGAGGACGTATTACATGCGTGAGAAGGTGGTCGACAAGGGCCAAGTCCAAGAGGATCTCGGTACCGCAGTTGTCGTTGATAAAATGCACCGTCGTCGAGCCATGGAACGACTCGAGGTGCTCAATGACCTAGCATCAGCCTCGCTCGTGTTTGTACAGATAGACGGAGATGCACCTGCGCGCAGTGGTTGGTCAAGAGGTACTGGTCGTCGACGGCCAAGTTGGCATGCGCGCCGCTGATCGTGTCCTTGACCTCCTTGTACGCGCCGTCGGCCTTGTTACCCCACAAACTGAGCTTCATGAGGTCGCCGAGCTTCTCGCGCGTTGGCAAGTCAGAGGCATCGAGCGCCGCCGCGGTCTCGAGGAGCCGCCACGGCGTCGCGTCGTCGAGCTCGTGCATCTTTCTATAGCATCTCGTTAGCGCCATACGTTTGATAGGACCATGCCACGTACTGGCAGTGGAACGGGTCGACGCCATGCTCGTCGTAGCCAGTGACGTCGAGCACGAGGCGGAAGAGGTAGGCCTCAGCAAAGAACCACGCCGCGTCGTGCCACGTCTTGCCCGCGCCGAGACGCTCGTAGTCCGCGTGCCATGTTGGGTCAATGGCCGGGTTGCTCAGCGCCGGGATCGGCTTGTTGGCCGCCACGTCGTCGGCGAACGCACGGAGCTTGGCGCAGTGGGTCTCCGAGAGGCTCTTCGTGGCCGCGTTCTGGTCAGCGATCTCGTGGAGCAGCTTCGGGATGCGCGAGGCCATGGCCGCCTTGGCGAACGGGACGCTGCCGTCCGTGTAAATGAGCGCTTGCGCATGGAGCTTGTCGAGGAACGCCGTCGTCGCCATCGTCTTTGGTCGTGGATTCGAGACTGTATGCGGATGCCAGATTCCAGCGTATCCGGACAAGCGCCCGAGTTCCTTGGAAGCCTTCGTGGTGCACGGTGATGCCACGACAACCAGTGGGAAGCACCCGCCTCCAGTGCCATATGCATCTGCTCTGGGTGGCGCCATCAGTACCCACCGCTACCCAAGGTCTCAGGCAGGTCCAAGGCTCTTGGTCGAGGCTCCCCATAAATGGACTGGCATGTAGTATACCATACAAACACGCAATGAAACTGCAAGTCCGGAAACCGTCCGGGATTGCAACAAGATCGCGAGCAGCATGATCCGGCAGCCCGTGCCAGCGCAGTTCGTCCATGACCACCTCGAGGTCCTCGGCTTTGGGAGTCCGCGGGCAGCGCTCGTGCAGACGGTCAAGGAGCTCTTCGAGAATGGTACCTGCGATGATGTGCATGAGGCCACAGCTCATGGCCCGCAGCACTCGACGCGGTCGGGGATCATGGCATGATCCGGCTCCAGCTGCGCCGCGACGGCGACTACCTCCAAGTTGTCTGCACCGACAATGGTACGTGCTCTTGTCTAGTGAGCATGCGAGACCATGACGCGCAGGCACGGGCATGCATGCGAACCACATCACGCAGCTCTGTGGCGGCGTCTTTGCCACGACCAAGGCCGTCGGCCAGATTGGCAAGTTTGGTTCGTCTCGCGTCTTCTCTACCTATCGTGCCAAAGATGATCTTGTATGTGCTTGATAGGGCTGGGCCTCAAGGCCGCTCTTCTCTACAGCCAGGAGCACGTCGCCGCGTCGCATGGCGGCCTCCAGGTCACGACGACGCTCGACTCGCGCGAGATTCACTCAACCAAGCTCTACATTGACACGACGGCCTCGGACGCGAGGTAGAGATGCATGCGTCATGCAATCTCTTCTTCCTTCTTCTTAGCGCGGTCATTGCCGAGACGAAACAGTTTGCCATCTCGGAGGACCACGAGGCGTTTTCTGGTACCGAGGTCCGGCTGCACCTGCCGTTGCCCGATCCGGCGAGCCTCGTCGATGCGCTAAGCGTGCTCTCGCCGTACTTTTCCGCGCTTCGGTACTCGATAGCAAGCGATCTCGCCGTCGACTTTGTCGTGTCAAGCGACCTCGGGCAGCCCATGCACGTGCAGCACGCACCCACGCTGCTGGACCCGATCGACCGATTCTTGTGCGACGTTGGCAGCGCCTATGACGATATTGTCCACGTTGAGGACAATATTGGTGACGTTCGCGTCAACGTCCTGGCCCACGTCCGCCCCTTGCCGTCCGTCTCGTCGGATGATGGCATTCCGCTGCATGTGTATCGGTATGGCAACCATGTGCCGCTACTCGACGATGGCGACCTTGCGCAGTGCGCGATATCGACTGCTCTCTTGCGCAGCAGCCTCTGGAAGCCGCTCGGGTTCAAGTGCACGCTGAGTGACCGTCGTTTTATGCTGCAGCGACCGGGTCTCGACACCGACGACGACGGAGCCTTTGCGCTTCTTCTGGTCCTCGATGTCGCCGCCGACGCGCTCAAGTATTGCTCGCTCACAAAGACGAGCTTGGATCGAACGTACGAAGACGGTATCCATCGCGTCCTTGCTGCCGGGCTGGAGAAGCTGCAGGCGCTGCACCCACATCGCCTGACGCCACTCTCGCTGCTCCGCGGCCATCGCGCGTACACGGAATATGTACCCTTGATTGCGACGGCGGTCACGGCCATGGTGCAAGCCTCCAGAAACCACGTGCACTTGGACGCAGCTCACTTTGCGCCCGGTGGCTTCCTCTTTGAGGTGGCGTCGCCCGCCGACCTCGAGGCGCGCTTGGTGTTCAAGATGCAGCAGCTGCTGTCACCGTCTTCTCTCTAGCACCCACCCACCGCCTTCTCTCGCACGGGCAACTCGGACGCAAAATGCAAGAAAAACGAGTAATAGTACGAGTTGGATAACTTAATCACATGGATACGAAGACGACGACGACGACGACACCAGAGACGACTAGAGGAGGTTGAACAAGAGCGCCTCAAACTTTCGGGCGCGTCGGTGCTTGGCCGCGTTCGCCCGCGCGTCGTACGGGTGGTACCGGTACCTGCGCTGGGTGCGCACGACCTTGGTCGACGATGGACTCGACCGCAGCGCCGGCAACGTTGCTGGTTGCGGCAAGACGGCGGCCACGTACTCGTGCGAGAGAAGCTCGTCCATCGTCATGCGTTCTTCCGGGTCAATCTCGAGAAGCTGTTCCAAGATCTCCATTTCCATCGATGGGATCAAATGGGCCATGTTGAGCTTGTGGACCAAGGCCTCGAGGCCTTCGTCGAGCAAGATGGCATAGTTTGGGTCCGACTCGTGCGCCTTGAAAAATACTGGGTGGCCCGTCAGCATCGTAAAGAGGATGATGCCGAGGCTCCACATGTCAGCCTCGCCGGGGATGTAGTACTCGCCGTTGTAGACTTCCGGTGCCATGTAGAAGAGCTTGCCGGCGCGGTCGGTCCGGACCAAGTCGACGCCGATTGCGTCGCCAAAGTCGGCCAGTTTGCACGTATGGTTCTCGTCGACCAAAATGTTTTCGAGCGAGAGGTCTCGGTGCGCATACCCTTCGTTGTGCATGAAGCTCAGTCCCGACACGATCATGTCGAAATAGACACGCGCGAGCGCGGGCTCGAACTGCTGCTGCGGCGCCGCGCTGAGCACGTCAAAGAGCGACCCGTGGGCGCAGTACTCGAGGACCATCTCGACACTATTGTTGCTTCGGCCTTCGCCAAGAAGACGCAGAATGTTCGGGTGGCCGCGCTTGGTGAGGCGCTTGTGCACGCGCGGCTCGGCAAACACGTCGTCTTCGCCGCGCGCATAGACGCGCTGGGCGTCCATGCACTTGAGGACGACGTCGGCGCCGAGGCTCTCGGCGTGGCAGACGTGGACCTCGGACCGCGCCGAGTGCGTGAGCTGGCGCACCCACGTGAGCTGCAGCATGTCGGTGTTGTCGAACGACGCCAACTCGAAAATGCGCCCAAGTGCAAAGGTATCTTAGTCCGATCCGGATACCGAAATAGGTCGCAACGCTGTGAGTCACGCGCGCGGCACTTGGCGCTTTGCACTCAGATTGCCGTTATCCGGATATAGGCAGTTGTCGACACGACGGTTTATGCACAGAGGCCAGGCGCGCGCGGTGGCGCCATTGCCGGCGCTGTCCCAAGGGCAGGGCTGCGTCTTTAAGAAGGACCTGCATATTGGTCGGAGGGTGCTGCCCACATGCGGCTGTCTGGCAATTTCAGCATTTCAGGATTCCATTGCGGTGGCGACAGCACAATGAAGCGAATATAGCCACGCGAATCCGATTCTTCGACAGCGCATACTACCGATACGACAGCGCATACTACCGATATGCAAGGCGGTGAGGTGTGGGAAATGGTGTGCGCACGTGGGTTCGACACAGCTGATGGAGGTGGAAGTCGGTGGGACGTGGAGACTGCATCGTTCCAAGCACGACCACTCTTGCCTCAAAAATGCGCACGGCTCGCTACGTGGCCAGACGTTCCATCTCCGAGACCAATCTCTTGCGTCCTGATGCCTGTCGCCACGTGCGTCGTTCCAGTCGACAGGATTGTGGCGTAGCACTCTGCTGCGCTGGATCGCATTCGTTGCGCTTGGCGCAGATGCAACGCTCCGCCGTCTCAATGCGCTGGTCCCAGATCTAAAATGTTTTTACGATCATGAGAGAAGCACGTATCCAAGCGCTGTATGTTAGATGGCCGTATACAATCGGTGTTCAACCCTTCTTCGCGGCAGTTACAAATGGCCGTTATTATAAAAATGGACATTCATGTTCACTTTACCACGGACTCGAGCCTCTATCGCAGAGCTCCCCCACGCCACGGGCGTCGACACCCAAAAGGTGCAAGATTGTTGAGCGAACTGACCTCGTGGTACCAAGACGTGCGCCACCATCCGCTGTGTCCACGACCGTCGCCATCAAGGGAATTACTTTACTGTATTCCCTTCGTCGCCATCCAGGACCCGCAAGACGAAGCCCAGGTGCTGCTTCTCCGAACCAGACGGGCTGCGCATGTAATCGAAGCCATCCAAATTCGTATTGGCAGTCTCTCAAGGACGTACGACGAGCGAGGTCGTACGACGTATCTTCGCCTAACCTCGCGAAAGATCGCGTCTCTTTGTTAAAGATGCGTTAATAGAGGTTGTACGTATCGAAAGAACATGATATTAATTTTGACGGGTTTATGGCCTTCACCAACCGAATAATCGGAAGTCGTGAGCGGGCGCTTCCGTGGACTTGGACCAACGTCGCCATCGCCCTCGGCCCCTCGCCGACCCTCTCTTCCGACCGACCGAGCCGACGGGTAGCACATCTACCAGCTTCCTCATGGTCTCGTCGTCGCTGTACAAGTAAGCGCCATGGCGTCATGGGCGATCCTGGCTCATGGCAGGTGGTATTAGGGACGTTGCCGCCAGCGAGCGCTTGCTCCGCGAGAGCCTCAAGAACGGCGCGCCATGTATCCCGGACGACCCGCTTCGTCTGAGGTACATGGATCGAAGATGGATCCTATGGAGCTCAGTCGTCGTATGTGTAGCCTGCTTGAGAAGGCGCTTCACTACACGTCGTCGTACCCGGCCGACTCGGCGTCCAAGAAGACCGAGGAAGTGCTTTGGAAGCCGTGCTTCTACAAGTGCATCGAGAGCTTCCGTCGCAGCATTCGCAAGGTACGTCCTCTCCACGCGTAGCTTCGCCTCATCCTCACTGGTAGTATGCAGCGGCCTCGAACGGCGACCGGCGCGTGCGCGAACACTTCTTCCAGGTCTCGCTGCAGTTCCAGTCCTTCCTCGACAGCGCGTCGGCGTACTATGAGAAGCTCCACGACGCGTTCGCGGCCGGTCCTTCAAGCGACGCGGTGCTGCAGAGCATGTTTCGGTGCCTCATCTTCCTCGGCGACATTGCTCGGTACCGCGAGCTGCACAGCCAGAAAGCCAAAAAGAACTTTGCCGCCGCCGAAAGCTACTACCACCGCGCGCTCGCTGTCATGCCCGAGAACGGCAACCCGCACAACCAGCTCGCCGTCCTCGCGACCTACGTCGAAGCCGAGACAATCGCGGTACGCGCTTGCATATTCGCATTTCCGATTCCAATGACCATGTAGGTGTACCGGTACTGCCGCAGCCTCCTCGTGCCGCAGCCGTTTGCAACCGCGGCTGAGAACCTCGCGTTGCTCTTTGAACGCGCGCGGCAGCGCCCACTGCCATCGCATCTCCCGCCGATTACGAGCACGTCGTCACCGAAAGACAAGTCGGCCTTCCTCAAGAGCTTTCTCCACCGCCTCACGCGGCTCCATGGCCACTTTCTCTCGCCCGGGAACGACGCGATGGACCCGACGACGTACCCATTGGACCTGGAAGACGCGGTCGGCGATGACTACAAGCTGTTGCTGTCCGCCGGTGTCATTGGCGATGCACTTTTGCTCAAGCTCTGCGCCATCAACATGCACTGTCTCCACACCTCGGTTGGCCCGATGCGCGCGCATGCGCTGCGGCTCGCGTTGCTGCTGCTCACGACGACGCTTGAGTATGTGGACGAGAACCGGGACAAGACAGCGCTGCTCGGGCCCGTAAGCGTCATGGCCGACTACTTGCAGCCGCGGCTGGAGCTGCTCGCGTCGGTCGAGACGGCTCCGTTCCTCGCATCGCTCACGCGCGTGCTCAACAGTCTCTGCTTGGACCACGAAGACCCCGACGCGCTCACGTGGAAGCCGCGGCTCAAGGAAATGCACGAACTGCGCTGCTTTGCGCCGCTGGACCAATCCTCGATCGGATCCAACGAGCTCCTCTCGGAGGTGGATGCACGCCACGTGCGCTGTGCCAACTTGGTCGGCTTTGGCCGCCGCCTCACCGAGCCGATTGGTGACGAGGTAGATGCCTCTTTCTAGAGCCGATCTCAGCGTGTGCTAGGAGCGTGTGTACCTCTATTTGCACTTAAACCAGTTTGAGACCTCGCCGCGCTGGTCGGCTGCGTCGCCCAGCAATGTGAGCATGGGTCTCCTGAGCCAGCACGGCGGATTCGACGACGACGATGGCAACGACGAAGAAGAAGAGGACTTTGACGACGAAGTGATTGTGTTTCAGCCGGCCGCGTACACGCAACGACCGCCGACGCCACCGATGCTCGCATCGAGTCCGTCGTTAAACAGCGTTGACCTCTCGGCGTTCCGGCACTTGGGCGCTGGCGTCCGCGCCTCGTCCGAAGCGTCGTTGTGGGGCCAGCCGACGCCGACGACAACGACATCGATGCGCGTGGAAGATGATCCATTCTGGGAAGATTTGAACGCCGTCGAAGAGGAAGGCTCGCGGTATGCGCACCAAGTGTCGAGCTTGAGCATGTTTTTCCAGCCAGACGACCGCCGGCCGTCGCCGCCCGCCGCCCGCGTCGTGACGCGCAACCCGTTCTTTGTCAACTCGTGAGGCGCGCTTGCTCGAGAGCCTCTTGGCGCCGACGAAGATGCCACGCGCGGCCACGACGACGGACCTAAATATGAAGAAGAGCAGGCAGACAGGATGTACGTAGCCATCGTTGTAGTCGACGCGTACGTCCAGAAGGAGCCCAACTCAGTTTGTCATCTTATTGCATGTGTTGTGAGGAGCCAAGCCATGGATGCTCGTAGCGTGACCTCGATACCAGGGGTGCATACTGGTGTACGCCTGCCCCTATCACGGTGGCGATGAAGGTGGATTGAATGGATCGAGCGCCGGATGCCACGTCAAAAGATGTAGAGATCGACCACACGAACCCATGCATGTTGCGGAGCTGGAGTGCCTCCAGCCAGCGCGTCCTGTACGCCACCGCTCCGTCGTTCACTTCCCCAAAGCCATTGATCTGAGATCTATCCAATGGGTGGTGGTCTGCACCATACGCCATCCGCGGACCGAGTGTTGACGTGGCTACGCTTGCACGCCTGCATCCTCCACCTACAATACGTCTGCGCCGTGCGTCGGCATGTTGTATACCGATAGCTTGCAATGCAATTTCCTTCTTCATTCTACAAAAGAAGTGTCCCTTGGTCCGACGTCCTCTGTGCACGTGAGCCTCGATACAGGGCCCTTGGTTGCTGACGAGGGTCAGACGCACGCAATGCCATGGATCTACGGCGCGAACACGAGCATGCTGTACATTTATCGCCGAGACGATCGATCGTTGCGGCCGCGGGACCGACTACGCTGACGGTCGCGGCTCCGGCTGCGTTGACGGTCACGACTGCGGCTGCGTCGGTCGCTCGGGCGATCGCGGCTACGGCTCCGCTGCTTGGTGGATCGAGGCTCGTCACGGTCCCGGCGCGCATCTCGCTCGCGGCTGCGTCGCAGCTTGGCGGGCGACTGCTCACTTGCGGCGGTCGTCGTTTCCTTGGGGCGGATGTGGTCGTCGGCCGGCCCGTGGTCGTTGTCGTAGATGCCACTGTACGATTGCTTGAGACGTGCGAGAGCCGCGGCTTCGCGCTCGGCCTTGCTTGACTTGACGGATGGGCGACGCATGCCAAAGTCATCGTAGCCATCTTCGTCGACCTCGCGCTTGGAGGACGCCATGCGCTCTTGGCGCTCGTTGAAGCCGCCGCCCGCGCCGTCGCGCTTCTCTTCCGGGCCTAGCGTCGCCTTTGGGTTCTTGCAGATGTTGCACTCGTTACGCCGCTCCCAGTTCATGTTGCCGCACTTGCCGCACGCCCAGTCGCCCGGGCCAAAGAGCCCCGTCTTCTCGGGCTTGCCCTTCGGCGCGTCGGCGCGGGGCTTGAAGCACCGATTGCACTCGAGGCGGCGAGCGAAGTTGATGTTGCCGCAGCCCTCGGTCGGGCAAATCCAGTCGCCGGCGCTCACGCCCCGCGCCGCCCGGCCACCGCCGCCGCCACGTCCACCAAGCATGGTTCCTGAAATGTTACGGTGAGCAGCGCAGCCGGCATCCGATTGGTCAAAAAGCAAAAGATTTCAAACCGCGCGATCCGATTCGACAAGATTCGAGAAGGCAGCAACACCAGGATACCCGTGCTGCTGCTAGACTGATACTGATGCGATGCTGCGGCAGCAGTACCACGGACATGGCCATGCTGGCCGCGGCTTCTCAAAACGTCCGAAATTCTCTTCCTGCTTCTGTGTTCTGCGTCCAAAGGTTGCATCTTCCGTCGACGACGAGGTCTACTGGCAACTGCGTCACGTCGTTGAAGTTTGATCGTGGATGGCCTTTCCTGCAATCAAGCGAATGATGTGTGTACCCGCCATCCTTTTCCTCTGCTTCTACAACGTCGGCTGACGCCATCGTCGCACGCATGAACCCATCACGGTCCCAAGTATACCTAGGAACATGCCACGCGCAGGGACATTCACCACTGGCCACGCGATGGCGCTAAGATCTTGGCTCTTGGTTGCAGTAGCTTGCCTCGAGCCGAGTCAACAAGTCGACCATAAAAGCAGCGACCTTGGCCATGACGCCGCCATGTCACGAGATCTAGAAACGCTATATCCTGCGTTGCACATGGGGCAACCGACCACTGCCGCTACGCATGGTCGCCTTCCGCCCTTCCTTCGACTACCGGTCGTCCTATGGCTGTACTAACTAACTAGTGCGCTGGCAAGTACAGTGCGTATAATCACGCGTCAACGCACCGAGTCGGATTGTACTCGTAACTACTACTACTACTGTCGCCGGCCCGGCGCCGTTGGCTGTTGGCGACGATCCATCTCCTGGGTCCGCGGGCCAGTTTGCCGGTGTGACAGGTGCGCCTGAATAAAAATATCGGATCTGCGATAGCGCGCTATAGGCCGAATTAAAGTTTTCGAAAAAATAGCGTGGCGCTTGGCCGCGGCGACTAATAAAATACCATTTTTCGCACGCGGAATAGAAACGCCAAGTGCTTTGGCTGGTTTGCGTAAAAAAAACGAACCGATACTGGGGCAGTCGGCAACTTGGCTTGCGTCGCGCACATGAACTCGGCCGTCTACCACGTCTCGACGCTCCAGATCGCTGACCAGATCTGCATCTGGGACTTTGGCCGATGGCCCATCACATACTCGCACCATGGCATCGTCTACACGCGCGGCGAGACGCCCGACGACGTCATTGTGGCCCACACGTGGAGCCCGCTCCAGAACTTTGCCGAGTCGCAGGCCGACTCGTGCTTCCGCCTCACCACGCTGACGCAGTTCTTGGATGGCCGCTCGATGAAGTACCTTCGCCGCGTCCAGTACAACTCGTCGATTCTCGGCGACACGATTTCCAAGCTGGGCGAAGTGCACCGGTCGGCGTCCGACATTCCGCCAGTGGTCATTGCGCGCTGCCAGTTCCTCCTCGGCGCCGGCCGCGGCCACTTTAACATTCTTAGTCCTCAACTGCGAGCACGTCGCCAACTGGTGCAAGACGGGTCGGCTCTTTGCCAAGCAGATCTTTACGTCCGGGCCGACGTCGATCCCGTACGAGCGCCAGCGGTCCGTGTCGCAGCACCTCGACTCGCTCGTCTCGCAGGTTCACAAACTCAAGGACGCTGAGACTGCCGCTCGAGACGCTCTGCTCGCGCTTGAACAGTCTCGACCCGAGCACGAACCAGCGGCGGCGCGTCTATCTCAAGCTCAAGGACACGACCAAGTACGTCCAAGTCCGCGGCAACCTCTTGTACGTCGTCGAAGTCGACTTGGCCGAGACCGAGCCACTTCTGCGGAACCTTCCGTCGCCGTTCTATGCGCGCGCCGAGCAGACGGACATCAACACGATGAAGGTGACGTTCGAGGACGTCTCGAGCGGCCGCCTTGTGTGCTCCAAGGCCAAGTGCGTCAAGCTCATTCGGCCGCGCATCTACCACCGCGAGAACCTCTTCCGCTTCGAGTACGCGTACAACGGCGAGCTCCAATCGCGCCGACTGCGCCGGTGGTACGTGGGCGTGCAGCCCAAGGACGGTCTCCTTCGCACGTCGGCGACGCGCGACTTTGCGTCCGAGTTTGAGCTCGTCGACGCCGACGCGCTTGATAAGGACTTGGACGCGAGCGAGTGCAACCTCAAGCTGACGTACACAAGCTCGTCCGAGCTCGACGACCTCGACGACGATGACGACGAGGGCGAAGACGACGAAGAGGACTCGGACGACGGCGACGACGACGAAGACGACGCCAAAAGAACCACGTAGCACTTGTCACTGCTGTAGGATTAACGTTATCTATTACCGAGGGAGCCTCGTTCGTCTGTCCCAAGGATACCTATTACGTCTCTTGATCGTCAACCGCATCGGTTTCGTGCCTCTGCCAGCCCACCAATCCAGCGCCTACTGCTCGGCTGCTACACCAAGCACCATCTACGCGTCGTACTGACTGGTCGACGTGCCGTCGTCTCGACCGAGATGATCGGACTGTCACACATTGATCTTTGCCACGCCCCAGCTCGCAGTTGATACCCATAGTTGATACCACTTGACGGGTGTTTGGCGCAAGGTGAGCTGGTTGTCCATGCGCTCACTCATGTGTTCTGCATCGTGGCGGTGCTCACGTTCTGAGGGAATTGCTAGATTTCCCTCGGCGCTCCCGCAGCACTGTTCTCGACAAGCTCCTCCGCGACCCGCAGCGGGCTTTGCTCCATGCACACGCACAGTCGCGCCGACCAGCGACAGCGTGTGCGCTGCATCTCTCCAAATAGCAGCACGCTGCGCTCCGTCTCTCCAAGTTGCTATGACGGTGGAGTGAAAAGCTTGTCCAGTCCTCGGCTGTCAATTCGGTCGTCGAGCCGAGTCCTTCACAATCGTGCGCAAGCGTGTAAAACCGTCGAAAACATCAGTGTCCAGCGTCCATAATCGTCCGTTTTGTACTTACTACGTATTATAGTATAACGCGGTACTAGCATAACGTTGGCATTTTTCCATTTGACTCGGCCAGACCCTTGGTGCCGTCAATTACATCCCGACAACCGCGCTGGTAGCGCTCCAAGATGACATCGGCACTCACTCGATGACGCGGGCGACTTTTTTTTTGCTCAAGTTCCCGTTGTCGCTCGAAGCGCGGGCTGACAACACGGTCGCGATGGACCAGGCGAGTGCTGTCTTGCTGTGGCCACCGTGGCCGATCCCGACGCCCGAAGCCCGTCGACTTGACGACCGTTGTCGACAGCAACGGCCTTTTGGTTCTCGTAGCCGACATTGCGATTGCGCCAAGGACCCCCATCGTCGGTGACGGTCCTCGCTTCTGCTCCACGCTCAAGTTTCTCGACAAGGTCGTAACTTTACTTTTAACAAGGGTTTCAAGACGACAAGTAACCTCAACCCGACCTCAACCCAGGCTCTGCCGTTCATTGGACGAAGACAGTGACAGCATGCGTGCGAGACATACCAGTAGCTCCACCGAACCCCCGTTCATGGAGTCTTTCAATTAACAACAACGAATACTGACAACGATGTGTTTTGTTTCTTCATATACTGTCTTTGTTTCTTATTTGCGTCGAGTTGCGGCACGACTTTCTTGGAATCTAACCTTGGTGCAAATTTCATTTGGTTTCGAGAGTGGTGTGGACTGCCTAGCGCTAGACTCACCCAGCACCCGGACTCTGACCCTTGCCTCGTCTTCCGCTTGGACCAGGCGCACTCGCCAAAAGTGCGGCCAACGGAGGCCAAGAAAGCTTGACCAAGGAGCTTCTTGCTCCGATCACTCACATCCATCAACAGCGGAAGCGTGCACGCAGAGGCGTTTTCCGTCGCGATACACATGATCACGGCTATAATTTGATGACCTTGACAATGTATTTATGGCCGCGCGATAGAGTTGCTTGGTTTGAAATGACCAAGGACCGGCGGGACGCGCTTGACGACTTTGTCCTCTCTGGCTGGAGCAACGACGACAAGACGCTCGGGCTCGGGTCGACGTGGCCACAGCGAAAGAAGCACACGCCCAAACCAGCGCAGGTGCCACGCACGGACGAATCACCGCCGTCGCCGACGCGGATCTCGAGCCTCATGGATGCTGGACGGCTTCATATGTACAAGCTTACCGTGCCGAGGATATACAGCAAGGCGAATGCTGGCACGCGCAACGCGGGTGACTGGACCACGTACATCGCCAAAGGTAGGCGCTTCGTGCTGGAATGGATACTGCATCAAGATGGTCGTCTAGTGGACTTTGACGCTGATACGATCCCAGACGAGGTACTGCCCAGCACCGATCCGCTGCAGCCGAGTTGTCTCTCCAAGAACGCGGCACCAAGCAAACCCGTCAAGTCGAGCAAGAAGACGCTTCAGGAGCTGCATCCTGGTCTCAACCGTGTCTGGCCCTACTCATAGCTCGAGCGTGCTACTTGTTTAACTTATTTTGATTGTGGGGCCTTCGACTACCTACGCAGGAGGAATCGTTGACGGAGCATTCTGTCGTGTATCTCGTGTATCAGCGCCTTCTTCACTTTCAAAGCTATGCGAAGGTTAATAACGACGTTGTCGGTATTCAACGCCCCAACGCTAGCGATGAAGCGTCTGTGGCCGACTGACATTGTTCCTTGTTGATAGGTAAAGAGCTTCGAAACCTCGGTGCATCGTTGCAAGGGCTAGGGCCAGGAAGCACTCGACACCATCGCAACACGACAACACGTCTAGCGGAGCCACTTCTGTCGAGCACCGTGGTGGTGTCGCCGCCGCGAAGTGGGTTGGAGTCGAGCACTCGACGCAGTCCCAACGACGGCTCGGGCCCCGTCACGGGATAGATACGTCAAAAAACGTCAAAACACGGCCCACTAACCGAGCCGCAGCACGACGTCGTATCTCTCGCCGTCGTTGATGGTTTCTGGGTGGCAGGATCGGAGTGGCGGTTTGACCAAGTCGATAAATTCTACTAGTCCATGTTCCGACCTATGTTATCGTTTTACTTGCAGTTTGTGACTCTGAAAGTTTGTGCTGTGGTGATGCGTGGTGAGCATCGCCTCGAGGAGGGACGTGCTCACGCTGCTGCGCAAGACATCGAGGCGCGACGGCGCGGTCAAGCTGGGCTGTGACTCGACGTTCTTGGTCGCAATCGAGTTGCGTAAGCACGACTTGACTTGACGGATCTGCCGCTCAATGTCCATCTTGCGCACCGCGCGCATCCGCAACGATGGATCACCGTCAATGAGGTCGAGCGACCGGCGGCCCCTTGGTTTCAACGCAGCATCGAGTCGGTCTTGCTCGAGCTTTCGCAGCACGGGCGCGCCGGAGGCGTAGCTCAGGCCTTTGCGTAGCGGGTGGTACGGCTGCAGCGGTCGAAGCGGCGCGTCCCGTTCGCGCGTCGGTGGCAGCTCGAGGAGGATCGACGATGGCGGTTGTCGCAGCGCCTCGACCATTTGGAGCTCGGCTGACGAGGACGCCACTATACGCGTACTTTACAACAGCGTTGGCCGAGCAGGTGGTACCTAAGAGCGCGTCGGACGGATGGTCGAGCGCGAGGTTGATCCGATCGTTCTCGAGATCTCGGAGTGCGATCGGAATCGAGTGCAGCGGCGGCGCCGAAAGGTGCAAAATGGCTTGGGGCCGACGACTCGCAACATCTGAAAGTTGACTGCTTTGCACGGGGAGATTCGTGTTGACGATCTCGTCTGGCTTGGGTCGCGGTGGCCGGCGACCCGCTGGTTTGGAGCTCTCATTTCGAGGTTTCTCTTCGGCTCTGAGCTTGGCTTCGCGCTGGAGGCGCCGGAGCGTATCTCGCTGGGCGCGTAGCGCTGCCTCTTTTTCGGTGATGGCGAGTGGGCGTGACCAATCGTCGAGCACGAGCAAGTCGAGCTGGTCGTCAATGTCAGGATCGCACCACCTGTTGAGATCCAAGTCGTCGGTCTCGTCGTCGTTGTCGTCATTCAGAAGCGGCGGGTCCGTCCCACGGCCAGCCGCCTTGCCCCGCATCGTGACGCTCCTTGCCTGCGCTATTTTCGGCTCACTGGTACAAATAAGGTTCTCGGCACGTGCTCGACGCAGTATGCAACGGAAGAACGACCCTCCACGTTTCATGCTCGAGCTAGCTGCTCTCGTGTGTGCATTCTGCTTGTACTCGTAAAAAGTTGATGTGCGAGGGTCGTTGGTCGCGAGAGATACGACGGCGAGGATAGACGTGCGTATATGGCCACGCACACGTACCGCGAGGAGCTCACACATGCATGCACACACGTAAAGAGCTATGACGCGCAGGACCATGCATCGTGTAGCCGCTTTCCTGTGTCGTTGCTGCCGCTAAAGTGACGTGGTTTTAGACTTTGCACAGAGCTATGGCGCTCACGGTACGCTCCTTTACCCGTCGGCGACGCCACCACGATGGAGAGAGGGCCAGCTAGCGCGGGTACGTTGCATCGCACGAGGAACGGCTTCTAGACGTCCACGGACGCTGACGACTCCCAACGGCTGCTTCTCCTTCTCTCGCCCGCCCGCGATCATTCGAGGGTAATTTTAGCCTCTTTGGTTGCACGAAATTTCGGGCTCTGGCGCATATTCGAGCCTGCGTGGCATGCCAACCCAGCCCGAGACGCCCCGATCGGCCGCGCGCCGGATCGAGAACCAGTTCGACGAGAACGAGCTCCAGGAAGAGCTCACGGCCAAGCCGAGCTTTGACGGCCCGCAACACGGCGACGACGACGACGATGATGATGGCAGCTACTTGCCGCTGGACGCTACGATCGCCGCGCTCACGGACCTGCTCGCCCGCGACGAGAACCTCCACTGCGCCGACTGCAACGCGCCCCAGCCCAAGTACATATTAGCATTGTCGTTTAAAATGCATGTATCCACTGCATGTCTAGGTGGGCGACAGTGACGCACGGCGGGTTCATTTGCACGCAGTGTGCCGGCGTCCACCGGTCGCTCGGCGTCCACATCTCGTTTGTCTTGAGCTGCACGCTCGACAAGTGGACGCGGTCGCAGCTCGAGTGCGTCCAAGCCGGCGGCAACGCGCGCCTCAACGAGACGCTCGAGTTTTCCGTGCCAACGATAGTCTCCAAGCCGCTGCCCGACTGCGCCCGCGACGCCCGGGAAACCTACATCATCGCCAAGTACGTCGAGATGGCGTACCGCATGGGCCCCAACAAGACGCGGCAAGAAGCCATGTCGAGCCTCGTTCGGCCCACGGCGCGAAGTATCCACCATCATTGCGCTTGAAAACTTGAAAGATTGAAACGTTGACGTAGATGCCGCCGCGAGCTCGCACGGGTCCCACGGCATGGTCGAGTACGTCGGTATCCTCACGATCGAGCTCGTCGAAGGCGCCGACTTGGTCGCGATGGACGTGGGCGGTAGCTCCGACCCGTACGTCTCGTTCCGACTCGGCGAGCAAGTCATTTCGAGCCACTGCGTCAAGCAGTCGCTGCACCCAAAGTGGCGCGAAACCCTTCGGCTCTCGTGGGACGGTCAGTCGCCGCTCGTCGTGCAGGTAATACTCACTCTGCTCCAGTGCCACCGTGCGCGCACAGGCTACGTAGGTGTACGATTTCAACAAGTTGCAGCCGGACCGCAAGATGGGCAGCTTTGTCATCGACGCCGACCGCCTCCGCGTCCTCGACGCCACGAAGCCATCCAACGTGTGGTATGCGGCGACCATGCCCAAGGAGTGGCCACGCAACTTTGGCGATCACATGGTCGCGGCCGGCGAAGGGTACGACGGTCCAGCGCACTCGCATCATCGCTAAAAGCAGGTGTGTAGGCTCACCAAGGGCGTCGTCACGGGGATCACAGGCATGTGGAAGGACCCGATCCGCGGCGCCAAGTTGAGTGGCTTTGGCGGGTTTGCAAAAGGCGTCGGGCTTGGCATGGCCGGCGTGATCATTCGGCCGTTGCATGGCTTCGGTGTCATGGTCAAGGAGACGGCGCTCGGCGTCCTAAGCAAGAAGACTCGGGCCCGCGTCCTCAAAAACAAGACGATCGAGGCCGGCGCTCTCCACCTCCGTCTCACGCTACAAAAGTTCTAAGGCTTTGCATCTTGCCGTCCTTGATTGTTGCAATGACACGCTCGAAGCCACACCAACGCGTGCCAAAGGAGTTGTGGCGTCGCGTTGGGCGTAGGTAGCTACGTCTGGCTCGTGCAGACGATCGATCGATCCCCTCGTCGCCACCTCCGCATCGCAGTGCACACGCTCGTAGTCAGTCACAGGGTCATCTTATCTGTCATCCGAGTCCTACTACGCGAGAAGCTGCGCGATCAGGTCCACTTGGTCTAAATCACAAGCATCAGCACATCAAACGGCAAGAAATCACAGGACGGATGGGATCGTACCGGGTGCGTGCGTGGCGAGCCAGTTGCGGGCATGCGCCATCATGTCCTCGTACGTCGACGGCAGCGTCGGTACACTAGGGCGCAGCGCCAGAAGGCTCCAGAGCAGTTGGATCTTCAGTGCGGCGCCGGTGCTGCTGCCAAAGAGGTGCAAGTACCACGCCAGCACTTCCGAGGCCGGCATGCCGAGGTCCACAAACAAATGCACGGGCGTAAATGGAGACGACGTGTGGTGCCCGAGCGACCGCGCGTGCGATGCAATCGTCTCGACTTCGGTGATGAGCCACTCGACGGGAAAGACCGGCGACGGGTGCAGCGCGCGACCCAGCGAGACAACGAGGTGACTCACGCTCCGCGTCCACTCGCAAGCTTCAAACGCACTCGACATGGACACGATCGCACCGAGGCCCGCGGCGGCATACGCCTCGTCCAGCCACGTTGCAATGGGCGCCGCGGCGTTGCGGTCGGCCACCTGCGGCAAAAGCGAGTACAAGGCCTTCTTCCACAGCATCACGATCGTTTCAGGTTCCTATTTATCATTGAGAGATTGATACGAACTTGAAAGAAAGAATGGATGTTACGTAGAAGCGGCACGCGTGCATGATGCGGAGGCAGTCTTCGTAGCGCTCGTACGGCATCGCATACTCGTGGTACAAGGTCGACATGTCGAGAATCTCAAACTCGAGCGCGTGTCGCACAGCCTCCGACCCGAGGTTGTGCTGGCGGAATGCCGTCGCCAGCCGCGTCTAGCCGCGTCCAGTTGATACGTTGATATTTTGATAGAAAACAGATCGTACCTGCGTTTGAAAGACATCGAGGGTGTCCTGAATGTCCTTGGCGTGCTGTGCGTTGGTCGTGTGCTGGATGCTGCTGAGGGCGCGCGCGACCCACGCCGTGCGATCGCCAATGCTACGCGTGACGCTAAGGTCATGCGCCGCCTTCCAGAGAACCGTCGCGGCCTCTTCGAATTCGTGGTGCTCCAAGCACAGCGCTGCGAGCCAGTCGACGTCAGCCGCCAAGACCGTTCGCACCGTCGGCGTCAATGGGCAGTGGAGGAGCCACGTCTTGTGCCCTTTCGAGACGACCCATTGCAGCACCACTTGTTGCAAGTGCACGTCGGTCGTCGCGACCACGAGGCCGACAATCGTCTGTGCCGACGCCACGTCATTGTGCTCAGCCACGTGCGCGAGGGCATCCAGGACGCCGTTGTAGCACGCTTTCTGGTCGGCCGAGTGCAGCGGCCAGCGCGCGGCGACCGCCACTGCGAGATTGACGAGGCCCTTCCAGAACGAGCAGAGCTCATAGTCCTTGCCGATGCGAGCGAGGTGCTCGATGGTCTCGGTGGTGGGCGGCCACGTGGGCGCCGCCGCCACAAGCTTCGCGAGCGATTCGTGCAGCGCAGCGTCCCGCGCAGACGGCGTTGCCGCGGCCTTGGCCCGCGCCAGCGCGTCCGTGCCCTGGAAAGCACCGGCGTCCTCCAAGGTGAAGAACGCTCCGCAGCGCGCAAGGGCTGTCGGCACGACCGACGGCGACTCTTTCGCCACGTCGCGCAGCATCGCTTGGAGCGCTCTCGCGCCATTTTCATTGCACACGACGTCGTAGAAGGCCACATTGGCCATATGGCTGAACACAGTCTGGTGCGCGTAGACCAAGAGCAAGCCTTCGCACGCGCCAATGCAGCGCCCGACAAGTGCGTGGATGTCTTGCAGAGCCCGCTGCTCGGTCGCAATCATGCTGCTGCTGCTGTTTTCCGATGACGTGGCATGCACTGCGACGGCATACGGCACGGCCACGTGCTCCAAGAGTTGTTTGAGACGACAGAGCACATCGCGTGGCCGCGCAATCTCGTCTTTCGACAAGGCCGGACGGAACGTCGCCGAGGCAGATCCCTTGCTTGTCGACGTGGCGAGCGCGGCATGCCAGATGCCGCTGAGAAAGCGGACGAGGACGCGCACGAGGCCGTTGTAGTGGTCCGAGTGCACACTGCCGTCCGGGTGGCCGCCAATGTCAAAGACCAGCGACATGAGATGCGCCGGTGGGCGCGGCGGCGACGGATCGCACGCCAACGCAAAGAGCAATGCACGCGATCGCATGCGGCCCGTACGACGCGACCATGGGCGACGCCCGATGGAGCGGAGTGGGCGCGTGCGTGAGGATATGCCGGAGGTGGTCGAGCGGCCGCTGCTTCTGCCAGCACTGCACGCCGCCCTCCGAGAGCGACACAAACGTGCGCGGCGCCGTCGACGTAAACTGCGTCGAGAGTTCGTGCCGACTCGCGCGTAAAAAGTCCAGCGACGACGGCAGTGACGCGCCGGACGCGCTGCGCTTGAGCGACGGAAGGCCGGCCGGCGCCGCGAGTAGAACCGACGTTTCTTCGACGACCATGTGCCCGCCAAGGAGCGCGTGCGACCGGACGAGCTCGCGGTACGAGGTCGCGAGGCCCACGTCGGCGGCCGCCGACACGAGCGTCGACTTGTAGCCAAAGAAGGTGACGCCCGATGCATAGACCGCACGGTCCACGGACGTGACGCATGGCGGCGGCGGCCGCGAAAAGACAACCCGGCATGTCTCCGGCGGTCCATTCGGTGCATGCGACGTCGAGAGGAAGAGCCGGATACCCGAGGACGTGATGGCGACCGCATGGACCGACGACGCGTCGCCGTCATTGACCAGACTCAGCGACACAATGGACGCGTCGATGATCGTGTACGTGACGCACGCAATGTTCTTGGTCCGTGCGTCATAGACGGAGACGTGCCCGGACGAGTGCAGCGCGTAGATGACGTGGCGCGCGTCGTCGTAGAGCAGCTGCGTGATCGCCGACCGGGCGGGGGCGAGCAGATCGCGCACGAGCGGCGGAAGGTACTGGTTCCAGTGCGACGTCGCGAGGCGCACCGAGCGCGCCTTCTCGGTCGTCGGCGGCTTGGGCAAATGGGGTGGTAGACATATTCGTACAGCGCGCCGTCGACGCCGCCGAGCAAGATGCGTCGAGACGGCGTGCAGACGATCGACGATAGAAGCGTCGTCGACGGAAGCGGCGCCTGCATGAGCGTATCTTGTACCTTGAAGCTACCGGTGGTCTTGTCGGCGACCAACGCGAGGACGCGGACTTCCTTCTCGGTGACGACGACCAAAAGGTGCTGGACGACGTCGCTAAAGAGCGTACCGCTCAGCGGCTGCGTGATGCCGCACGCGAGCACGGGATCGGGCATCGCAGGGCACGTGACGATCGTGGCCTTGGACGACGCATAGTCCCAGAGGTAGACGGTCGGGCCAGCGATGAGCCATGCGTGCTTGAGGGCCTTGAAGAGGCCAAACTTGGTGCCGGGTGACGACGCCAGCGGCCGCAGCGCCGGCGGCCATGGGCTAATGTCGGATGTCGGCTGGACCTGCGCGTTCCATCGCGATGTCGCGTCTTCCTGGATATATGTGCTGTCGCCGGACGGGGCTTGGCGGAGGCGCGAGAGGAGGTCCGTCGTCTTGTCCTGCTCGTGCGTCTGAGCAGCCACGCGGCGCAGCTCGGCGATCGAGCGCTCGAGGCGCGCCGTCTCTCGTTCGCGTCCGCTCAGGGCGTAGGTGCTCATCCGCGACGTCGGCTCCAATTCACTCGTTCCACCAAGCAGTCGGAATTGGGTGGCCGTCTCCAGTCTTTTTCATTGGCTAAAATGCAGCGCCTTGTGTGGACAGGATTGGCCACACGAATGCATAGAACAGCCAATCACACGACAGTTCTCACCATGGCGCGAAACCAAGCTGGCTGCGACTGCTGGTCAAGCATCATGGCGTCCTCGACCAGTCAGCCGTTCGAAGCTCCAGCGACAGGCTTCCTCTTACCAAGACTCTTGCTACTGTAGTTCATGCAGTGACAGCCGCGTCATAGACACACGTCATGCATGGCGCCAGAGAACTTGGCCAGAGCCAATATTCCCTTGGCCGGAACCGCCCCATGGCATGCAACTACACTAGGTGAAGCAACCGCACGCTGTAGCATAAGGCAGATGACGTCCTCTGTTCGCAATTTTAATTGGACTTGCGCAGAAGAAAGGGGTCCACGGGAGCCATGTCGTGGGTGACGAGTCTCGCCGTTCACGTCCATTTCCAAGCTGCTAGAGGCGGCTGTAGCAAGCTCGCTGCCATGGATTGCAACATCATCTATCCTACAGGCTCAGTGGCGTCGTCGTCGTCGTTGTTGTTGTTTGGATCGCAGTGTGTAGCAATCTATTTTTAGAATATCGAAGGCTTGGGTTGGTCGAATTTCGACGGACCTCACTTTCAGGCACGAATGCTCTTCTCCATGGGTTTTGGACACTCCATTGGGCGTATTGCATTCGGACAAAGTCGTTCAAACGAGGTGCGCACCGTCGCGTGGAACAAATCTCGCTCGCAGAAAGGTCAAGCCCTCACTAGTGTCATGGCGTCTGCGCTCGCGCCAATGCTAGAGCGCCACGTGCGCTCGCTGACACTGCCGCAGTACGCCGACGCCCCGCGGCATCCTTATGCGGCGACTTCGCCCGCGCACTGGGCCCCCATGTGGGCGTGGTTTGAAGCCTTGGGCTACGAAGACCAACACGACGTCATCACGAGGACCGCACGACAGGAGCTCACGTGCGACGACTAGGTGCTTTGCTTTGTGGACGCGCCGTGGATCAGTATGCTGCGAACCTTGCACTCGGTCGTCCTCGACCGCAAGCACGAAGATGGTATGTCGGAACCGCCAACAACGTTTGCCAATAACGCTGCGTAGGTGTCTTCGTTATCGTACCCAGTACAGCGGACGCCAGCACCAAGAAGAAACCGAGGTATACACGCCTGTCTCTGCTCTGAAGTTGGCTCATTTGCCGTGTAGCCGAGGAAAACAGCGCGATCTGAAGCCGACGCCGCCGCTGCTCGAGCGCTGTGCGTTTGTGACGTGGGCTTCGTTGCAGGCTTCCTCGGTTGACGAACACAATACTGCCTCGCCCAGGTCTGTTCTTGCTATTCGACATGTCATGTGTCTCTGACTTCGACGCTCTAGTGCGAACACAGCGTTCATCTCGGCGAGCCGCCAACTCCTCGCCAGCGTCCGGCTATGGGCCCACGATGCGTACGCGGACGGGTGCTGGATCAAGCGCAGCGGCTGCATACGGAAAGGTGCCTTCCAGCACTTGCTCGAGCTCGTACGTCTTCTATCGCCATGTATTGGTCTCGTCATTGCCATCGCTATATAGGTCTTGCAACACGGATACCGTCGGCTGGGGCCCCGGTTGTCAAGACGACGCGCGATCTGCGTACGTTTTCGTGTCACCACAACCAACAGCGTTCGGACACTCGCTTAGGTACCCAGAGGCAACGACCTTGTCTGCATTTATTGCGCTGCGCGTTCTCGAGCACTTGATCGAAGTGTTTCGGGGCACGGTGGCGCGCGCGATGGCGCTCTCTGCGCGTTTTGATCGACTTCTGTGGCTTTGGGAGCACACGTCCGAGGCGGACCAGAAAGAACTGCTCACGTCACCAATGCAAGTGCGGATCCAGCGACTCCGCAACGCGGCCGAGCGCACCGAGAGCGAGATGCTGCTGCACTTGGCCGGCAACCAGCTCCTCGACGAGCTCGACAACAATGTCCTTAACGACGCGCGCTTCGTCGCCGAGTCGCTCTACACGTCGACGCTGAGTCGGTGCGGCACTGCGATCGACTTGGTCGCGCGCGAGATTGGCCACGATCTGCAGGTACCATGAGACTCGAGTCATCACCGTCGTCTCACGCATTGCATGAAGGCGGCGGCGACGGCGCATAAGTCGGCGATCATGCTTCGCAGCAAGGACGGTGTGCACAAGTCGACCAAGAGTCGGCGTCCGAAAAGTAAGAAAAAGCTCTTCAAGAAGCTCGTGTCGTCGCCCGCGACGAGCAGTCACAGCGCCGACGACCGCGTTGAGGACGAGGACGAAGCGACGGCGTCCGTCACGGGCGCATGTTCCAAGCTCAACCCGTCGTCACCAACCTTTGTGGCGCTGTCACCCGAGACTGCGTCGACGTGCTCGAGTGGCGACAGTAGCTGTCAAATGTACCAGCTGCCGGACGCCAGCGACGTCTACTTGGCGACGCCGGAGTCATCGTCCATGGGTATGTCACACGTCGTCGTTTCGTGACCCGTCACCACAAGCATGTAGCTGTGCTGCGATCGGACGCGTCACTCCTCGAGACGTTTACGCTCGCGCTTCACGATGACATCCTCGACATGTACGCCATGCTCCAGGACATTGTGAGTCGCCGTCGCCCGTGGCAGATTTGTGTCGTGACGCACCTCAAAGTATCTCTCGGATACGTTCTGGCAGACTCAAATGGACATCTATGGTAGGACTGCGTTGCCCGGCTCTGGCCCGACGCCGAGGTTCATGTCTTTGGCTCGTTTGCTACCGGCTTGAGCTGCCCCAAGTCGGACGTCGATCTGCTCATTACAGGCGTCGCGTACGACCGCAAGCGCATCTCGAACGTCGAGCTTTTAGCATCCCTCCTTCGACACGAACCCTGGGTGCAGGCGATTCAGGTCATTGAGCGCACGGCGATTCCGCTTGTGAAAGTGACGACCGCCGCGGTGCCGTCGTCGTTTGGTGCTGCACAGGGTGTCATCCGACTCGACATTAGCTTCGACCAGCCGCAGCACCGCGGCATCGAGACGTGCATGTACGTCCAGCGCCTCGTGTCGGTCTTGCCCGAGCTGCCGCCGCTCATGCTCGTGTTAAAGCAGCTGCTACTGGAGCACGACCTCAACGACAGTACCATTGTTTTCCTCGTGTCGACGTGGGTACATTGATATGTTGCAGGCTATTCGGGCGGTCTCTCGTCGTACGCACTGACGCTGCTGCTCGCGAGCGTGCTGAGTCCATTGCAGCTCATCGCGCCCGCGCACCGACCCAACCTCGGCGAGCTCCTCTTGCATTTCTTGCAACTCTTTGGCCGCGACTTTGAGCCGCAGCAGTCGTTTGTCCGGAGCACCCACGGCGGGTAACACGACGCCAACCGGCATGTCGACGGCGCTAACGACGGAGCGTAGACCGCTGGTCCCACTGATCGACGGCTTTCTACACTGCGCTGGCGACGTTGTTGTCATCGAAGACCCGCTTCGACCCGAGCACAACGTGGCCAGAGCAAGCTTTGGCTTTGGCCGCGTCCAGGAGTCGCTCCGCGACGCACTTGGGCGCATGGAGGACCTCATGCCGACGTTCGCGACCATCGTGGGCCAAAGCGCTGTCGGTGGCTACGCGACGCCCCAGCACGATCTGCATGCGTGGGTGACGGGCCAAGAAAAGAGCATTCTGGGTGCTGCGTTTCAAGTGCCGCATCACGTGCACTTGGTGCAGCAATTGCGACACCTCTGGAGTCCCCTCGACGAGAATGACGACGACGATGAAACGGAGCTGGAAGACAACAGCGATCCATGCAACAACAACGATCATCTCGACGCGTGGGCGGCCGACGCGGCCAGCCTCCTCGATGCGTTGGCAACGAGCGTTTGCGTCGCATGCCACGGCCAGCACGGCGCGCACCGTCACGAGTGCCCCATCGCACTGCTCCTCACGCGCTACGAGCACCTCGTGCGATAGACTAGGTTTTGAATTGTATTTGGAGATTGGACAATAGACATGTTGGCGACGGCCTACGCAGTCCCGTAAAACGTAGTATTACTCGCGTGAATTTGATATGCCCACGAATTTGGCACGAGTCGGCACATTAAGCTACGCTCCACTGCCCTACCACGGCCACAAGAGAGCCTCGTGCATCGGTGTCAAAGGCAGCCAAAGCGCTCGACTAGGGTATACCGCATCCTATTAAGCTCACGGACCGGTCGGTCGGTCGGCGAGGCCATCAAGGGTGTGTGGTGATGACTTGGGACTCTCGTCGAGAGCGGCTACATCTAATTCTATCTCTCTACATGCGCAATCCGAGGGCTCACTCGAGGACGGGAGGGCCGCGGTACGCGAGGTTGACAATGTCAAACGAGTGGGGTGGCACCGGCGTAGCCTCGAGCGCAAAAATCGGGTCGCTGTCGTCCGGCGTCGGCTCGAGCGCGGCCGCGACGCGGTAGTACGTACAGTCTCGACCATGGCTATCGATCGCGATGAGTACATGACATGGAAGAGGCATGGATTACCTCGGGTCGTACGGGGGCGTGAGCACGTCGAGGATCGCACAGCCAATGTCGCTGCCCGACGTGAACTCGTGGAGGTTGCCCTTGTGCGGAAGGAGTTCGGTTGTATGTGGCGCTTGTCACCGTGCGGTCTTGGCGCTGCTGCGCGAGCAAGAGCTTCTTCTTGCGCCGCCAAATGGACGGCGGGTCGTCGCCCGGGTCGTGCGCGGTCCAAAACGCATCGTTGGCCTCAGCGGGCACCAAGTCGTAGGACGTCACATGCAGCGAGCCGTAGAGCAGTCGGGAGACGACGCTCATGTCCGGGTGGTTGTGCAGCGGGATCGTAGCCCCGGGCGGCAGTACAAAGATCCTAGGTACCGAGGATGATGCTGCAATACAGCGTGCGCACAATGGCATACCCGATCGAGACGTCGCGGTCTTCGTAGATGTGGATGTAGCGGATTGCTTTGGAGCCACGGTAGAGCGTCTCGGCGGTCGCGGGCGTCGGCACCTCAAGGCCGACTAGGTGGCAGTGAGTGGCGAGGACGCGCCAGAACCTCGGGCGTACCGTGGATGGGCAGGATGCCATCGCAGAGCGCTTTAATGGGCTCGATTTCCTGGAGGCTAAGAGCGCGGCCACGGCCGCCACCGACGGCCTGCAGCACGGCGCGATGCAGCTTCTGGATAATGGCCATTTTGAGCACTGCGACCATTTATTCATTTTCGCCACCTGCGATCACTTGGAGAATGTATGTTGCGGCCGCCATCTCCATTGTATCACCACGCCGCCTTGGACGCGATGGAATGACGCAAGAGGCGAGAGGCAATGAGCGAGGCGTCGTCCGTACGCGACGATGCGCAATGGTGCAACGATGCGCTGCGGCGGTGCTGTGCGCGGGCGCGGCGCAGGCCAGGTACGGCGGCGTGCGTGTCTTTGCGAGCGCTGAGCTGGCACGTTCGTGGCCCTCGTCGCACGCCCAATCCTTGAACCACGAGCGGATTGCTACAGGGACTGGCCACACGCATCCTCGGCGTCTAGCGTGATGCCTCTAGAGGCACTGCAAGAACGAACGCGCCCGACGACTGCAGGATGCTGCCAGCACATCCAAACGGACGCCTCTGCTGCAGGCACCGTCGCAACTGATGCGATGATCCAGCGGCTCACGCTCGAGCCTGCTGCTCATTGAGCAGGCTTTGCAGTAGTAGCTTTTGCAGTGCAGACGGGATCGCCATGCAGACTACTCGACGACTCCTCGTACACGACCAGACGCCTTAGCTGCCTCCGCTCCCGTTCCAAACGCTATGTCAACGATCTTGGTGCTCGACCTCTGCTCTCAGAGCTATAGTAGACATACTAGGTTCGGGCAAATCCAAAACTGGGTGTGTTAGCGTTCGCACGTTTAGTACTCCTCGCCGTAGTCCATGTCCTCGCCGTCCTGGCTCTCGGCCGACACCTCTTCGTAGTCCTTCTCGAGGGCAGCAAGATCTTCACGAGCCTCCGAGAACTCGCCTTCTTCCATGCCTTCGCCGACATACCAGTGGACGAACGCGCGCTTGGCGTACATCAAGTCGAACTTGTGGTCGATGCGCGAGAAGACCTCGGCGATGGCCGACGTGTTGGAGATCATGGCGCACGCGCGCTGGACGCGGGCGAGGTCGCCACCGGGCACGACCGTCGGCGGCTCGTAGTTGATACCGCACTTGAAGCCCGTGGGGCACCAGTCGACAAACTGGATCGTGCGCTTGGTCTTGATCGTGGCCACAGCGGCGTTGACATCCTTGGGGACGATATCGCCACGGTACATGAGGCAGGCCGCCATGTACTTGCCGTGGCGCGGGTCGCACTTGGCCATCATCGAGAGTGGGTCGAAGCACGAGTTGGTGATCTCGGCGACCGAGAGCTGTTCGTGGTAAGCCTTCTCGGCCGAGATCACGGGCGCATACGACGAGAGCATGAAGTGGATGCGCGGGTACGGGACGAGGTTCGTCTGGAACTCGGTGATATCGACGTTGAGCGAGCCGTCGAAGCGGAGCGACGTCGTGAGCGACGAGATGACCTGCGCGATCAAGCGGTTCAAGTTCGTGTACGACGGGCGTTCAATGTCGAGCGAGCGCTTGCAGATGTCGTAGATGGCTTCGTTGTCGAGGAGGATCGACACATCCGTGTGCTCGAGGAGCGAGTGCGTGGCCAAGACCGAGTTGTACGGTTCAACGACGGCCGTCGAGACCTGCGGCGACGGGTAGATCGTGAAGCCAAGCTTCGACTTGCGGCCATAGTCAACCGAGAGACGCTCGAGGAGGAGCGAGCCGAGACCCGAACCGGTACCACCGCCGACGGCGTTGAAGACCATGAAGCCCTGGAGGCCCGTGCAGCTATCAGCGAGCTTGCGGACACGGTCCAAGATGGCATCGACGATTTCCTTGCCGATCGTGTAGTGACCACGGGCGTAGTTGTTGGCGGCGTCTTCCTTGCCCGAGATGATCTGCTCGGGGTGGTAGAGCTGGCGGTACGTGCCCGTGCGGACTTCGTCGCAGACCGAGGGTTCAAGATCGGCGAAGACGGCGCGCGGGACGTGCTTGCCGGCGCCGGTCTCGCTGAAGAAGGTGTTGAAGGCGTCGTCGCCGCCGCCGATCGTCTTGTCCGAGGGCATCTGGCCATCGGGCTGGATGCCATGCTCGAGGCAGTAGAGCTCCCAGCAGGCGTTACCGACCTGGATACCGCCCTGGCCGAGGTGAATGGAGAGGATCTCGCGCATTGTAGTTAGGTCAATGAGCTCGAAGAAGCAAAAGTGAAAATGGCAGTCGTCGTCTGCGTGCCGTCAACGGGGTAGCCAATCACGTGCCATCGTCTTCGTTTGGGAGGGAAATCTGCGCGCGTGATTGGCTGATCTCGTATCCAGACGCGGCTGCAGCCTGTCTATTTGCACGCCACTTCCTGCCCGTCCCTTACGCGGCCATGACCATGATGAGGAAGATGGACGTGTCGTCTTTACCTCGTCAGCATGGACTCGCAATAGACCTCTATCGTTTGTTTGCAGTGTAAATCTCTGGCCATGGAGTGGCCTTTGTGATGCCCTGCAGGAGACGAATAAGAATGCGGTGTTGGTTAGGCAAGTTGCGTGTTTTTACACTCCCCCATTGCGTGACCAAGATGGGCAAGCTTGAAGAGCAGCTTGAAGGTCAATCCGGCTGGAGAAGCACGCAATCTCGCTGGTTTCTGATGGAAGCGGTATAGAGTCTTCTGAAAGGGCCACGGGAGAGGTGGTCAAGCAAAGATCTTAGCAAGATTGTCCTCTTGGGTGATGGAGGAGGTCGGGATGGCGTAGAAAAGCCCGCGATCGAGCTAAAAACAAGGGACAATGTCGCGGGGTTGGGTGCTCGTAGACTCCAAAGACGCTGCTGTCGCCAAAGAAAAGCACCGTGGCACCAACTGGGGCACCAACTGGGCGAAAGACCCGCGCGCCGATCAGCTTCAAGGAAGCGAACGCGTAGGTCAAAACGGACCAATCGCCTTCGAGAAGCTTATTTTTATGCTGTCACCTATGCTTGATCTTTGCATTTGTATGCAATTAAATACCCCATGACTGGTGGGCCTGTCGACGGCGACGCCGTATTATACACTGTATTGGACACGACAAATCATTACACTGTATTATACTCCCAAGCATCTTCCTGCGTGGCACGGAGCGGCACGGTCAGTTGCGTAGTCGCTGACGCGGGATCGGCGTCTTGGGAGGGTGACGTGCACGCGCACTCGCGACATCAGTGCCATTCGGCTTTCTCACTGGTCCTCGCACCGTGGCATATCAAGTTGACGTGGCTGCGTCCACGATCTTCCCGCGCGAATCCATATCTTGGATCTTGCATTGCGTGGAGATTATTTCTGCATGGTACGTCATGGCACCACTTTGTGCCATCGTGGATGCCATGGATCTTGTACCAATCGGTCGACTGCCTTCAGCCATGGTCGCGCAAGCAAGCCACTGGATCACGCGTGCAGCAGGGCGCACTGTGTGAATCAATCACCATGTCCAAACTCTGTTTAAAACCCGATGTGCGCGTCCCGCCCACGTTCTTTTTGATGGTCTGTGTAGGGCTCGGGGTGGTCCCTGGCTCGCTTTTCATCCAATCACCGATGCGGACGCGGTGAATATTGCATGCTGCGCGGCGCGGATTGGCTGGCGCGCAATCTCCGCCCAGACCGATGCATCAGAGTTCCTGCGTCGCTGATTGGCCGTTCATTAGTATCGCATGCGCTGATTGGTCAAAACTCCGTTCGACGATTTAAAATTCAAATGGGTCGGCAACCCCTTTCCCACTTTCGCTTTTCGGTGCAAGCGTCCATCACAACCGCTTTCGCAGCCGCAGCTTCTTCCCCCAACGTACGTCGCCCATGCCCCGAGGAAGCCCCCATCCTCATGGCTCTTCCTAGGACCAACATGCGCGAGATCCTCTCCATTCACCTCGGCCAGGGCGGTATCCAGGTCGGTAACTCCTGCTGGGAGCTCTACTGCCTCGAGCATGGCATCCAGCCCGATGGCCAGATGCCCTCGGACAAGACGATCGGCGGCGGCGACGACGCCTTCAACACCTTCTTCAGCGAGACCGGCGCCGGCAAGCATGTCCCTCGTGCTGTCTTTGTGGATCTTGAACCCTCGGTCTGCGACGAAGTCCGCACGGGCACGTACCGCCAGCTCTACCACCCCGAGCAGATCATCTCGGGCAAGGAAGACGCCGCCAACAACTACGCTCGTGGTCACTACACGATTGGCAAGGAGATTGTCGACCAGGTCCTCGATCGCGTGCGCAAGCTTGCGGACAACTGCACGGGCCTCCAGGGCTTCATGGTCTTCAACGCCGTCGGCGGTGGTACCGGTTCGGGTCTCGGCTCGCTCCTCCTCGAGCGTCTCTCGGTTGACTATGGCCGCAAGTCGAAGCTCGGCTTCACGATCTACCCGTCGCCGCAGGTCTCGACGGCCGTCGTTGAACCGTACAACTCGGTCCTTTCGACCCACTCGCTCCTCGAGCACACCGATGTCGCCATCATGCTTGACAACGAAGCCATCTACGACATCTGCAAGCGCTCGCTCGACATTGAACGCCCGTCGTACACCAACTTGAACCGTCTCGTTGCCCAGGTCATCTCGTCGCTCACGACGTCGCTCCGCTTCGACGGCTCGCTCAACGTCGATATCACCGAGTTCCAGACGAACCTCGTCCCGTACCCGCGCATCCACTTCATGCTCTCGTCGTATGCGCCCGTGATCTCGGCCGAGAAGGCTTACCACGAACAGCTCTCGGTCGCCGAGATCACCAACTCGTGCTTCGAACCTTCGTCCATGATGGCCAAGTGCGACCCGCGCCACGGCAAGTACATGGCGGCCTGCCTCATGTACCGCGGTGATGTTGTCCCGAAGGACGTCAACGCTGCCGTCGCGACCATCAAGAACAAGCGTACGGTCCAGTTCGTTGACTGGTGCCCCACGGGCTTCAAGTGCGGTATCAACTACCAGCCGCCGACGGTTGTCCCGGGCGGTGACTTGGCGCGTGTCCAGCGTGCTGTTGCCATGATCTCCAACACGTCGGCCATCGCCGAAGTCTTCTCGCGCATTGACCACAAGTTCGACTTGATGTACGCCAAGCGCGCGTTCGTCCACTGGTATGTCGGCGAAGGCATGGAAGAAGGCGAGTTCTCGGAGGCCCGTGAGGATCTTGCTGCCCTCGAGAAGGACTACGAAGAGGTGTCGGCCGAAACGCAAGAAGGCGACGGCGAAGACATGGACTACGGCGAGGAGTACTAAGCGTTCTGGCATGCAGTTTTGCCCTATATAACATGCGTTGACATTGATGTGTCAGAGTCATCTTTATGATGTGCCATGAGCGAAGAGACGCACAACTGCAATAGGATACGTTGTTTATTCACATGTTGCGCACGTCTATTGTCGCTTGGTCGGGGCCATGGGCTTTTTGATGCCCTGCCACATGGAGTTGACGCTCACAGCCCAGAGCCCCAGTGCCAGGACAGGAACCACGAGCCACCCGATCGTCGCGTTCTTCGTCGGGAGGGGCACAGCCTTGGAACGGAACTGCTTGCGCTCGGCAAAGTCGGTCGCTCGGCGCCCAATGGCGTTCGGGGCCATGACGGAGCGGTTGCGGTGGTACTCGGCCGTCGTAAAGCGATCAAATGAGTTGGCGTTGGCCATGAGGCGGTTCACGTCCTCGGACGTCATGCGCTTGTAGCCATCGTCCTTGACGACGCCGTCCGTGGAGCCGACGGTCGCGAACGTCGACATGCCATACGTCTTGAGATCGTACTGCGTGCGCGACTCGACACTGCTCAAGGTATCATAGGCCTCGTTGACATCTTGGAAGAAGGAGCTGGACGCGCCGCTCGGAATCGAGCCCTATTGCAGCAACATGCGTGAGCACATGATGGCATGGCATCGTCTACCTGCGGCGCCTTGCGATCGGGGTGATGGAGGAGCGCGAGCTTGCGGTAGGCGGCCTTGACGTCGTCCATGGACGCATGGGGCGGGACGTCGAGGATCGAGTAGAGGTCGAGCTTCTTGGCGCTGGCCATGGTTGCTGCTGCTGCGGGCTTCGGGCGACTTCTCCGTGTGTTCAAACGTGGAGCCAAAAACCACCACGATGACGGCCTCTCGCCGTGGCACAAGCGGTATCCGGATCCGTAAAAACTTGAATAGTGTCGATAACACGATTCACGTGTGAGTAATAGTGTTTTCGCCGTTGGACATTAATAGTGTTTTCTGTCAATGGACTCACAGACAACAGTGTACATTATCGTGGCTCGCACTACTATAGCTATGCTTATGCGCGCTTAAAGACGGCGGCGGCGCCCATGCCCGTGCCAATGCACATGGAGATGACTCCGTACGTCTTTTGCGTGCGCTGGAGCTCGTGGAGGAGCGTCGCAATCTGCCGGGCGCCCGTGCAGCCGAGGGGATGGCCAAGCGCAATGGCGCCGCCTAATCACCATCACCGCGTACCATGAGATTGTCGGCATCATGAATCATCTAGTACCGTTCGGGTTGACCTTCTCCATGGGAATCTTGAGCTCGTTGATACAGTACAACGCCTAGCATGTTGTTGAACTCGCATGGCTAGATGATCGATGCGCGTACTTGGCTGGCAAAGGCTTCGTTGATCTCAAAGACATCAATGTCTTCGATGCGGAGACCGGCCTTGGCGAGCGCTGCAGGGATCGCATACGCCGGGCCTATGCAGCCGACGCCATGAGCCTTCCGGTTATCAAGTACTAGTCCGAGGGACGCACCGACGCCCATAATCTCTGGCGGCACGCCCGACACCTATGCCCGTCATTAGATGAGCGTCTGTCGCATTAGGATATCCAGAAGGAAGCACGCACCGCGTACGAGACAAACGTGCCAAGGATCGGCAGCTGGAGCTTCTCGGCCATCGCACGCGTCATGACAAGAACGGCCGCCGCGCCGTCGCTGACTTGGCTCGAGTTGCCTGCACAAACAGGTCATGTTATGGAACGATGATGCTCGACGCTACAGTACCAGCCGTCGTCGTCCCGTTCTCCTTGAAGGACGTGCGGAGCTTGGCGAGACCTTCCACGGTCGTGCCGGCGCGAACGCCTTCGTCCTTGGAGATGACAACTTCCTTGCCATCGTCCGTCTTGAGCACGACGGGCGTAATCTCGGCGTCAAAGCGGCCCGCAGCTTGCGCCGCGGCTGCCTTGGCATGCGACGCTGCCGCCAACGTGTCCTATCGCCATGAGATTGTCATTCGAGGTATCGAGAAATGGAATTAGTGTACCTGCTGCGTCCGCGTGATGCCATACTTGGCAGCCACGTTCTCGCTCGTGAGGCCCATCGAGACAGTGCAGCTCTTCGCCCCTTCGTTCGCGTACACCTACTTGGCGCGTGAGATGCGTGAAGTGATTAGTGATGCAACACGTACGTCCTCCCAAGCAACGTCCGGGGCACTGCCGCCCATGTCCGTCAGCGACATGGACTCGACGCCCGCAGCGAGCCCGACGTCGTAGAAGCCCGCTTGGATCGCTGCCGCGACGTTGGCAAAGGCTTGCAGGCCCGACGAGCATTGGCTAGAGACGAACGAGTAGGACCGAATGGCTCGCCGCATCCGAAGACGTACCGGTTCACCGAGTTGAGCGGGACAGTGTACGGGATGCCTGCGCAGAGCTGGCCCATGCGGGCGCCGACGGCCGCCGAGCCGGGCTGGAGCACGTTGCCTAACCAATGTGCGACGTTCGTGAACGCAGCGATCTGAGCAAGCCACGTACCGACGACGATGTCGCCAATGATCTTGGGGTCTACCTTGGTCTGCTTCAAGACGCCTTCAAACACCTAGCGAGCGCGCTGAGGCCATGGCCATGCACGCACGCGCATGTCTACCTGGCGCAGCAAGACGTCCGGCGTCGTGTCCTTGAAGGCGCCGCGCTTGGCCTTGGCGATGGGCGTGCGCGTGGCCGCGACGACGACGACTTCGGTCGGCGATGGCGTCTGGAGGTGGCCTTGGATGCGGTTGAGGCGCTGCATGGTGGCTGGCTGATTTGGTTGTGCGAGCCTTCCAGCATCCAGCGTCCATGACACACTATTCAAGTCACATCGCATAGTAAATAGAGTTAGAACACCACTTTTGAAGGGCTGCCACGCAACACTGGAAGCTGCCACCACCCTTCTTGCCATTTACGCAGATAAGCTGGAAACATTATATGCCAACCGAGCCGATGAGTCAAGTGAACTCCTCGAGTGATTGCAGTGAGCCGCAACATCGCTGCGATCAGGCTGCACACTATTTCAAGCTCACCCCAACGCCGACAACTTCAAGTTGTGATTGTTTGTGGGCGAAGATTTCAAAGCACGACGCGATACTCTCCTAGCTTATCGGGTCTGTTCTCGTTGATCGCAATCTTAGAGCGATAAATATATACCGCGGTCCCTCAAGTATCGAAATGTCCCTACAGCGGGCCGCGTCGCGCTGGGATCATATAGCGCGCACCCTCTTTTTTAACCAATCGAGATCTCCACAGTGCAATAAGCGCCGCAGGTAGCAGCCCATCGTTCTTGGCTTGAAGACGACCTTGCATCGCCTAGGGTCTCCACCGTTGTGTTGCGATGACACATTTGGGCCCACCAAGGTGGGCGTAGAAGGAAGCTCCGGCCAGCGACGCTAGAGCTGCGGCTTGCGAGATGGCCGAGCCATGCCACTGGCCTGGATCGCGACGGAGATCGGGTGCACACTCATATGCAGCATGTGTCGAGCTATCTGGGGTTGGCGTGACAACGCCAATTTTAATTCACTTTGCTCGACATAATACGATACTCAAGTCATTTAAATACACAGGATGACATCGATGGGCCAATCAACGTGTCGCAGGACCCAGGAGCGCGCCACGTCATTTGACCGGTGCCAAATCAAACTTCGATAATCTGTAGCCAGTCCACCGTTGTGCAACTAAAACAAATCGGCGCCCAAGATGCAAGTGGGCTCGCAGCGCGTCGCGTCCGCGCGCCTCGACGACGTTCTGCACGTTGACAACGACGAGCTCCCAGCGATCAAGCCCTTCGGCGACCTTGAGACGCTCCTCGTCGGCAAGCTCAGCGCGTCCGGCATCTTCGCATACGACGCTGTGTTCAAGCTCAACTGCTTCAACCTCGAGAACCGCGAAGAGCTTGCCCCGTACATAACAGCGCTGGACGACGACGGCCTCTGGTGGATGCTGCGCACCGCCGATGTGGTCACCGACGACGGCAGCGTTCCGATCTTTGTCCGGCTTCTGTGCTCTCGCATCGTCAAGCTCAAGGTCCGTTTAGACTCCTTGACCGGTGTCGTGACGGAAGCGCTGATGGCCAAGACCAGCTTTGCGACCTATCCCCATCGCTAGTCGGACAGTTTGATCTTGTGTCATGACCAAACTCTGGTGTCCGTCGGCATCTCGTCCGGAGACACGTTGTCCGTCACCGTTGATCAATTCGGTGGCACTCTTCATTCCCGCACGCATTGTGCTCGTGTGACGACGTGGGTCGCTAGCTGTGCCGTCCGACGCAGCGCCGACTGCCGCGCCGCGATCGCGAAGACTAGCGGCTTTTCTAGCCTAATCGACTAATCGACCAACACCAATACATACTTTAGCATCTTCCCTCTCGTCGTCTTGTGTTGCATAGGCCAGGATCCCACGACTTGATGACCATCTCGCGAGCAGGATGATGCGCTGCATTGACCAAGCTCCTCGAGACCATAGCGCGCAACCCTAGCCCCATCTCCCACAGCCAAAAAAAGGCAACCACCGCCTGTCGCATAGCAATCGGCAATATAGGTGCATCGATAGAAAGTTTCGGGAACGAGAGTGCATTCGATTAGATAGGGTGGACGTCGTCGCCTACGGCTCGCCCGCCGACCGGACGGGCTCGTGGAGCAGCGTCGCATCGTACCCGACGTTTTCGAGTGTTTCGAGAAGGGCCTTGGCGCTGGCGCCGCCAGAGACATAGACGCACTTGTCGGCAATGTCAATGTGAATGCGATCGACGCCGCCGACAGTCTGCAGCGCCTGCGTCACGGTCGCGCCGCAGTTCTTCATGCACATCATGCTCGGCGCATGGAGGATCGTGAGCGTCTTAAAGTCGGTGAAGCGCCACGGCGCCGCGATCCCACCCACGTCGTCCGTCGTCGTCGGCACTGGCGCCTTCTTGTCGACCTTGAAGAAGAGAAAGCCGACGCCAAAGCCCAGAATCAGTGCGAGAAAGAGGCCCGTGTCGTAGATCATGACGACGAGCATTGCGAGGTACGCGAGCGTCATCTGCATCATGTAGAGCAGCGTCAGAATGAGCTTGTGGAGTCGCTTCTGGCCGCTCGACGTCTTGCGCTTCCGGAACGTCTGGCGCAGCGTCTCGCGCGTCCGGACAAAGTACTCGTTCAGCAGCGGCAGCGCAAAGACGCCGAGGAAGCCAAACGCGTACTTGACCGACGAGTTGAGCACCCACGGCTGGAAGAAGAGCTTGACGCACGTGCCATGGACTGTGGTCTGGAAGCCAGAAAACATGACCGAGGCGCCCGTGCAGAACGGCGTGTCGTGCGAGATTGCGGCTGGCGTCGTCGTCGAGGGCGTGCTCGGGGCCGTCGTCGGCGTCGACAAGGCGTCGACAGGCACTTGGAACTGGTCCGGGCACGGTGCGCCGCCGCACGACATCTTGCGCACGCCAAAGTACTAGAGACCACATGAGTATGTGGGTCATGGACAGGAAGGGCGACGTACGGGCGACGCGGTAAGGCCGGCGAGAAACGTCTGCTTGTTGGCCTCGGTCGTAAAGTAGATCTTCTGGCCGCGCTTCAAGCAAATGAACGCAAACGCGCTGGATGTGACGGTCTCGCCGCTGATCGGATCCTTGACGCTCGTGGACGCGTCGTCGCACTCCGGGCACGTGTTGGTGCACGTCTTCGTACCGTTGGCGAGGTCTCGCTATGTCCATACAATGAGGTGTTGCAGTTGTAGTACGTTGAGCGTACCAAGGTGGCGCCGACAAGCGCGGGGTGCGAGAAGGCGCTCGAGCCCTCCTTGTAGTCGTTGCCCGTGTTCATATCACACGTGTAGATCTTCTGGCCGTTGTTCAACTCCGTGAACCATGTAAAGTTGTTGTCCTTGGCCGCCATGTTGCACGACGGGCAGCGCTTGCCGTCGTTGCTGTCGGCGGCATGTGCGTGGGCATGGGCGTGGGCGTGAGCATGGGCGCCGTGGCTCACGACGGCGGAGGCGAGGCCAAGGAGTAGCGCCCCGAGCAGCAGGATACGAGCGTGGCGTGGCATGTCGGACTCGTCGGCGCTCGATTGCGCAGGCGGACGAGTTTGATAAAGTGACGCAATTTGCGCCAATAAAATGCAGCGGTCAACATAGACAACGACCCATAGTTTATTGAAGTGCACCCAGATGCTGCATTCAATAAAATAAAAATAGCAGCGTGGCATCCGTCGACCACAACTCCCTCGCAATACGAACCTGTGTCCAGAGAGCTCGTCGCGGCGGCACCACCATGCTGACCACCATGTAGAGGCCACGCACGCACAACATACGCGAATGTGGGTTGTTTGACGCGGCGAATAATCGTGCGTAGTGCAAATGTACCTGTACCTTGCTCCTAAACGATCCTTGTCCATAGAATCATAGAATCCGGTGACCAAGATCCAAGGATTCTCACAACACGATCTTAAAATGGCTGCTTGTTTCCAGACATGATGATGATGACGCTGGTATTACTCGAGTAGATGCAGGGGCAACAGCGATGTGTGTTCCTTCGTCAAGCAGCAAGATATTGTTCCATCAAGCTGGATATCTCATTCGAGAAGGTGATGCTGCAAGCGATAAGCTCAGACAAAAGACCTGCACGCACTGCTCGGCACCCTCCTTGCGGCAGGTAGAAGCTTCAAGAAGGCTTCAATATCGCTGTCGAGCGAAAGTTCACAACCCTTCCGGGAACGACATCCTGGTGCTTGAAGAGGTGGTGGAGCCATTAAAGCCAGGGACACAAATCCGTGGATCGTTGTCTGCATCCGAGTATGGTATACTCCGACTCAGATTCGCGACAGCAGAATAAAATGCAGCGCTTGGGCCAAAGACCAAACAATTGCTCGACCCGGGGGCACCGTTGGTTGACAATTGCGCGGGGTGGTACGTTTTAATAAACATGACGGCCTGTCTCACACGGTATCTTTCTTTTTGTATGGCACACCCGGCCGCACGTGTATTTTTTTGCTACCAGTGGTCGACAATTGCCGTTATTGGGGGGACCACTCCTTGTCTACACAAAGTACGCTTGGTGTTTGTATTACATACTGAAACCAAGGTTCACGGCTGGTTGCGTGGAAACCCAGCCGTGCGCTGGATGAAACCCGAATTTACCATGAAATTTGCACGCGCCGTCCTGGCAGCGGTCGTCCTCCTCGTCGCGATGGCCTTGGCGCAGCAGGACCTCCATGACACCCAGTGCCCGCTCTGCGCCATGGATGTCATCCCGTCGCTCAACCAGACCTTCAAGGGCAACCAGGCCATCTACGCCTGCGAGATGGCCGGTCACCTCGACACGCTGGCCAACCCGGCGGTACGTCAGTCGCCTTTCGCCGCGCCTCACAACGATCCATGGTCTGTAGAGCAAGGTGCTGAGAGGCGCGGTGCCGATCACGGCCTTGGATGCGCCGTATACTCATGCGCACATGGGCTGCCCCGTCTGCGGCTCGACCGACCTCAAGTACGCCATGACCTGGGGCACTCAGGGCAACCAAAAGCTGTACACGTGCTCCAAGGAGCACGCCGACTTGATCTTGGCGGATCAGGTACGAATCCATGCCATGTGCACAGCATGATAACCATCGCTCGTATTGTAGAAAAGCTACTACGTCGGGACGGGCGCCGAGCCGGTCACGGGCTTTTGCAACCACGCGTCGGTCATGTTTGACGGCTTCCAGTCATCGGTTGGAAGTACGTGCGTCAAGCTCTTCTTCCAGCCGTGGGTTCTCGACTCGTCGGTCAAGTACGCCTTTGGCTTTATCGGGATTGTGCTCCTTGGCATCTTTCTCGAGTGGCTCGGCGAGTACCGAGAGGCTCTGGAAGAGGTATTACTACCCGTCCAATCTATAAAATGTGAAGGGCTCACGTCTTTTGTGTGGCAGAAATTCATTCGCATCTATGGCGTCTCGACGGAAGCCGTGCTCGCCAACTCGTGCATCCAGCTCAACACGCCACCAGCGTTCACCAAGTCGGCGGCCTCGAGCCTCATTGACGCGACGCCGTCGGCGGTCAAGACGACCAAGCTGCCATTCTGGTGCTCGACGGTCCTCGCCTCTCTCTACATGCTCGCGCTCTCGATCGGGTACCTCATCATGCTCGTGGCCATGCTCTACGAGACGGGCCTATTTGTCGCTGCGATTCTCGGTCTCGGTGCGGGCTTTTACCTCTTCAAGGACACGGAGCAAGACCAAATGTCGGGCAACATCGACCCGTGCTGCTCCACGTAGCTGTCGAGGATTTTTACTATTTTAATCACTTTCGTCGATACTAGTACAGTGCGGGCCAATATGATAGGTTCAGCCGTCTTTTTGTGACAGCCGTTACAGTTTTTCACCAACAAGTGTGAAAAGGGTGGCAATCGAAAGCTCTTGCCACAAGCGATCGATTGCCACCGGAATTGGTGAAAAATGTTGGAAATTGGCGGAGGAATCGCTACTAATGGGTTTTGGACCCTGGCAAGAAAGATAGGTTCAAGTCCGAAATATGGTGAATACGATGCAAATCGAAGCTTTATTTGAGCGTTTACTTG